CCCCGCTGCGCCCGGCGTCTCCGGAGATGCAACGAGCAGGGGAGGCTCCCCCGGCCCCGCCGGCCTCTCCCCCTGCAAGGAGCCTCCGACTCCCTTTCCACTTCCCTGCTCCCAACCTCTTTCCTCAGGAGTAAATTTCGGTGCCCCCGAGCCCTTTTTGCTGCACTTTCTGCCTCATTTTGCACTCTAAGCGGTTGTTTCGTTCTGTGTGAGCAGCTCTGGGTCCCTCCCCTGGATCCGCTGCCCTGGATCCTGCTCAGGCGCTGGGGGGGGCCCGTCTCCGCCCCCAGCACCCGGCCTGGCTCCTGGTTCGTGCCCTGGGGGCCTCCAAAGCCCCCAGACTCTGCTCGTCCTCTAATTCCTCCCCCATTCCCGACACCCCCGTGCTGTTACCCGCGTGTGCGCGTCGAGGGGGACGTCCCCGCCGCTGCCGGGTGCGGGGACGTCGCACCGTGACACGCGCCGAGCAAGGACGCGTTCAGCACAGGGGTAGCGAGGGTCACACCATGGCCAGGAGGGGCGATGACACCCTGACACGGGTCACTGGATACTGCAAGTCCCGGTTCCCCTTTCCCTGGATGAGCCCTCTGGGTCGCTGTTTTGGGCATGTGGGGCTCCAGAAACCGGAGGAGCTGCTGGTGCCCAGAGCTCCTGTGGGACTGTTATGGGGACGAGCACCCTGGGGCTGGGGACACGCTGCCCCTCGGGGTGCCAGAGCAGCCGGAGCCTTCCCGGCGCTGATGCCTTAACAAGAGCAGTGTCCTGGGCACGGGGACACGAGTGGCCCTCACCGTGCCGCAGGGCACGGGCCTTGGCACAACGGGTCTGAACAGGGCCCGGGCGGGCGAGCGGTAAAGCCCTGCCAAGCTGGCGCCCTTGGCACAGTGTGTGCAACCTCGGGGTCTTTCTTGCTTTGTTCTCTTCCCATATTTCTAAATAAAGAGAGTTTAATGAGGAAGCAAAGGGCTCCACACTGATTCATTAAGGAACGGGCCGGCTCCGGGCCCAGACGCTCTCCAAGGCCGGAGTTTAGACGAGGCGGCTCCTTGGCCGGTACCTGCCCATGGCCGGGAACCCTGGGTGATTCCAGCCAAGGGGCCAGCTCTGCTCTTGGCACTTCCAGCTTCT